GAAACAGGAGCGCCCACAGCGGCACCTAGAGGAGACCGAAGACTCATGAGTGGAAGTCTCATGAGTGGAAATTCGGGTTTCCCAACACACACATTTTCTTTTAAGTTATATTTCATGCTAGTTTTGGCAGTTGAATGAATACTACGTTTTTTTTTTAACCAATGAATATTCGTGTTTATTAACTCATTAAATCTGAACCATTTTCACTGGAGCAACCCCCTCAATCCCAGCATTTTACTGGATTTTGACTGATCTTGCAAGGCCCACAGAATATTTGGTTCTAATGCTATATAAACATGGAGCGTACCAAAATAAACTTAGGACTCTCTTCTTTCAGCAGAAAAAAAAATAGTTTCTATCTTTTTCCATTCTTCAGAAATCGGCATTACACAATGGCTAAGTTTCATGAAAATGGCGATTCCTGGGCGAAAAAACTGAGAAAAAGAGCTTTTTGTAAAAGCATGCATTTCAAGCATGTGAGCCACCACTGCCACCCACTGGCCGCTTTTTTACATGATTTACAATGCAAACGGCTTATTCTCATTCACAGATTGCATCAGACACTCCTCCTCTCTGTGACGCAAAAAGAAAAAAGACTTCGACGTCCAAGTACGTCCTTGGTAGGCGGGGCCTAATTTTAAAAAGCCGTACAAGTACGTCTTGCGTAATGAAAGAGTTAATAGTGATTTGAATACCAATCAGAATAATCCTGATTATGGTTTTCTTTTTAATTCCCCAGCCCTAGGCTTGGCACAAAAAATAATGAAAGAGTTAATAGTGATTTGAATGCCAATCAGAATAATCCTGATTATGATTTTCTTTTTTAATTCCCCAGCCCTAGGCTTGGCACAAAAAACAGTCACTGAAGCACCTATAGCCGACTCACCTCCGCCGTCATCACAGAGGTCGTCGTCTCTGGTCTCTGCTTCCTCCGATTCCTCCATCGAGTCCCGCCTGGATGCAATAAGAAAAAAGAGGTAGGGAGGAATGTGAGAACAAGGCTTCACTTTGTCAACTTTTTCTCCTCCTTTGAAAACGGTAACATAAACTAAAAGCAAAACATGCGGGCAATATGATGATTTTATATTCACACAATGCTTCAGATACTGTAAGAAAAAAAAAACAAAAAACAAAGCCCTCTTGAAAAAAGAAACGTGTCAAATAAATCAGGTCCTGCATGCCCGAGGACACCGTCTTTGTTACTCCTTCAAGAACCACTGTTTGCTTCCAGCTAGTGTTGGCTTGTCGCTTCATACATCCATGCAAACAGTCCCAAACAAAAGGCAACATCTGCGATATACTTGTCAAAAGCATTCTTCGCCAGTTATTCCCCGAGACGAGATCGCTTCATGGAGGTCCCGGTCGAAAAGCCCCAGACATGCAGGACAGGTGATAAGAGGTGTCACGGATGCAGATGTTTATATATAGTACGTGCGGCGCGTAGGATCGGGCCCTCCGCCCGTCCCCGTAACATGAGGTCATTGGGTTCCTTTGTCCCCCCCCACCCCCCACCCCTTCACTCCCAAAGGTCAAAGGAGGTCAGCGCATCAGGTGTCGGCATAGGTCCAGCTCCCTCATCTGTCTTGCACGTGACACTATTGGTGTTAGGGTCAAGGCCAGAGGTTGACAACTCAATCGCAACTCTTTTTAATGCAATCCTACGGAGCTCCAAACAGTCCATGATGATGATGACGAAAATGATTTTCATATAAGAACACTGGAGAACAATTTTGAAAAAAAAAATATCTGTTAAGTTTATATGCTGATTAAAACTAAAATTGGAATGCGTATTTCAAAAATCAGTTTTGCAGTTTACCAGATGAGCAAAATTCCACTGATTCATTGTATTAAGACTTGACATCTTACGACAGTTGGAGTCATATTGAGCTACGTGGCAACTTGGTGAGAGGTGTGTGCAGCTCCCAATACATCTGCAACATCTGCAAACAGAAAGCTCGCATAGTAGGAATGAAGAGCAATCCGTGTCGGCTTTTCTCTTAATTGTGAGCATGCCATAGTTAAGTTCTATGTCATTTCATGCTCTTTTTTTTTTTTTTTAGTTTTCAACGGTTCTAACTATGCCATCTCCGTGTTTTATTCACATACAAAAGCATTTATTGATGATTTTTAGAGAACATGGGGATCATATAGCTCCAATACTTGACCTGAAAAATGAGATCCATTTTGGATCCCGCACCCAAAAGTTGGTCAGAAAAAAAAAAAAACAGCTGTCAGACCCAACTCATCAAAAATTGGTTTTTTTTCACATTTGGTTCTGGAAGTGCCGTGATGAAAAGATCACTTTACTCCCAAAGGTGCTAAATGAAAACCACTTCGAACATCTCAAAGCCACTGAGTACAACTTTGGCCCCGCGGCGCGACTAAAATAAAGTATCCTTCATTGTGTTCGCTGATTTCACTGATAAAAAGTGTACCAGTAGTACTTATATCCCAATCACAAGCAGTCCGAGAGCAGCGAACGTCCTCTTTTGTCATTATTGTATTATTTCAATCCTGTGTGGTATTTCTTCCTCACAACGCGGAGGGTTCGGCCCAAGGACAACGATAAAACGTTGAGGAACATGGCGGACATAATTCACACGGAAAGACAGCGAACACACCACGGCTGCATCCCGAAACCAAACTATCCGCACTATCCTCTGTCTAACGTCTCCAACTTAACCCTTACATCCACTTCCTTTTTCATGTGTATTTTATTTATTTTTTAATTAATCAGCCGATTAATCGGTAATTTTTTTTTTTCTGCCAAAAACCCATCGTGAGTTTATGACCCCCGTGTTACATCTCTTGGTCCAACAAATTGATTCTTTGTTGACGGTTATATTTCTACATGGCTGGTAGTTGATTCTGCAGGTCCGCCCTCCGTATGACTTTGGTCCCAGTGCTCTTCTTGTGCTGTTTGACTGTTTCAAGATTCCCCCCTGTGACACTTCAAAGAGCAACAGGTGCATGTTTCTGTGGGAACCTGCGCAAATACGATGGGAACAAAAACCAGTTCTTGGGACCGTTTCAAATTCCCCCGTGGACACCATCCCGCTGCCCTGTAAAAATAAACATATGGACGGCTTGGACGCTTTTAGTGTTCCGAGAGTCCCATTTATGACCCTTCAAGTGTATGTTTCTGCAAATGTGGTGGAAACACAGACAGTTCTCGGGACTGTTTTAAACTCCCTGGTCATCACCAACGCCACGGTCACATAAATAGAAAGATATATGACTTGGATTCTTGAAAGAATGACATTTAACCCTTTCAGGGACAGCGGTTACTTCAGTGGACAGCTTACCATGTTATCAGGTTACAGGGTTCATGAAAAGGGTTTTTGTCTGTTTTGAGTCACTGTATAAAATAGTCCTCAAATGCCAAGGTCAAAGGTGAACATGTTATGGGATTTGTATTGCTAATTGGGCCCAAACAGTATGTAAGGGTTAAAAACTGACAGCGGTGTTAGGTGGGACGGTTGAGGGGTCAGTGGCGCGCAGGCGTTCATTTGCGAGGAGAGTCCCATTCAGAGTTCCTAATGCCACAGCTGGGAGTGCTTAGCCTCTTTTTAGATGAGTGCGCTGCGAGTCTACGGGGGCCCGTCTGCTGGTTCATTTCACCCTGGCACTCTGGAGCTGTTTACAGTCCCACGCCTGCAGCCTTTTCAGGGATGCGTTGAGGGGGGTGAGGAGAGAGGATGGAAAGCCGTTTGAGCGTTTATTCAATATCCTTCATATCCAGCTTAAGGTCTACGCACGACTATGCGTTCTGTCATCACTACTAAGACATTTCAGCACACTACACGGGCCAACTTTAACATACGGCGATAACTCTGCAACCGCACTAGTTGAGATGTACACTTTTATTAGGTAGTTGTATCCACCAAGGGTGAGAATAGTTTTGGACTTTCCATCAGAGTTAGCTTTAGCAGAGTTAGCACAGATCGCTTTTATTTCGTCTTAATTTGTTTGGGTGTTTTTTTCAATTATTAGTTTGAATTCGTTTTAGAATGTGTGAGTTAGTTTTAATTTTAGATTTTAAAAAATGGTTCCTTTTAGTTCGTTTTTGAAATGAGTTTGGGCTTTTTATATCTTGCTAATAGATAGATAGATGATAGATAGATAGATAACGTCGTTCAGGATGCATATATAACAGATATCATGCCGTGTATCAAGTATCGTGATAATGCCAGTATGCAAATGGGGAATGCAGATCACTCTTAAAAATGAATTAAATGCTTCTCATTGGACAGTATGTCATTGAATACCGATAGCAGGTGTCCAACTTTGTATCCTCTTTAAACAAAATTTGTCATTCTTTCAAATTCTTCCCATTACTGCAATTGGCTAGCTACCTATGCTTATATTGTCGAAAATGTCAAAGCCTGTTTCTTCTATGAAAGCCTTTCCCTTTCCGTTCGTGTGTCCAGTCTCAATAGTTTGTCAATAACATTAAAACGTTACTCCGAAATAATTTGGTTGTCATAATCATGAATGCAATTTCTACCAGCTGTATTTGCAATGGATGAGAGGTTAACTAAATGTGTTTGTGATTAAGGATGTGGGTGCCTACTGTATACTGTTACATGCTTGGAGCTGGCTGCTTGCCGACACTCTCTATAAACCTCTCACCTTGTTTTAAAAAAAAAAAAAAAAAAACAGCACCAGCATCTCTCTTGTTTCAGCAACCTTCTCTCATAATGACCCTCTATTAGGGACAAAATAACGCTCTGTGCAGCGTGCGCGTGCACGCACGCAAAATGACCTCCAGGGTTAACCTGTCACTAACATGGTGCCTGATTGCAACAGTACAGTAAATCACTGCTGGCTCAATAAAACACACCTGTGGTGTAAGAGGAGATGTGGGAGAGGCAGAACACCGGGAGAGCTGCCTGATCACTACCAGACACCCAACGATCCGTGGCGGTGGGGTCCCTAAAAATGCACAATGTGAGTGTATGCTTAACAGCTTTGCGCACTGGAGAATAGATGCATTGTGTTTTTTTTTTTGGGGGGGGGGGGTCAGTTTAGATGCGATCATGATGCCATGCCAAGTGCCTCAAATTAGACCTTATTTATTTCAAGATTTATGAATGATTACCTGTATCAGTTGATTAAACCAGTGGTTGTAAAACTTGAGTTTGCGATATGAATATACTGTAGCCTATTTAAAAACTCCACAGGTTTGCATTTAGAGCATTTATATCATTTGATTCGGAAGATCTTTAAACACACTTGAGACATTCATTAATCTCTTTCTTATCCGCAAAAATGATCTTGAAATACTTCTTCTTGTCACTCTTCTACTTCCAAATTGACACAGCGTTAAACGCAATAGCATGCCATCATCTAGTGGCGTTATCCGCAAAAATGATCTTGATCTTGTTGTCACTCTTCTACTTCCAAATTGACAGAGCGTTAAACGCAATAGCATGCCATCATCTAGTGGCTGACTGTGGAATCACACCCAAAATAAACAGTTATAACTGGACAATAAAAAGAAATCTGCAAAATATCGGACCGTCAACCCAGGACCTACGGTGGGAGGGGGTGAACTGTACTCAGCGTCCAGTTATAAACTGGACAAAAAAAAGAAATCTGCAAAATATCGGACCGTGAACCTAGGACCTACGGTGGGAGGGGGTGAACTGTACTCAGCTCATTTCTTCCACTACAGCATACAGTTAGCTAGCTAGCTATGTCTACACTCCAAAAATACATCTTCCCATCTTCTCTGGATGGTCCAATTTACAGTTCTGTGTCTTTATTTAAATCCCAGAGACGAGGAGGTGACGCTGCAGATGAGCCCGCCGCCCATTACACCAGTGAAAAGGAGCCTCCGCAACCTGTTATGTTGTGAGCTAGCTTGTGAGCTAGCCGGAGGCTAGCGCCTGTTGTCTTGGCGTGGAACAGCCCTGACATGACGCGTTAGGATGTATTCCAGCCACCAGAGG